CCCATTTCCCCTGATCCTGGTGACAGGACATTTTAAGCAAAACTGGAAGTTATGTTGACTAGAAATGTAGATTCAAATGATTTTTTCTGGAAACCTGAAGCCTCTGTCCTGTTCAGCAATATGTAAATGAGACTACTTTAGTGTTTTTCTAATCAGAATAAAATTCATGGATTTGAGGGCAGTTGTCCTGTTAGAGTTGTATAGCACAGTAGGTACAGTGATTCCTATGGTGACGAGTGTCCCATCAACCTTTTTGCAGCTGGTAGAGAGCTGACTGCAAACCAGCTCAGAAAGAGATTAATGCATTAACAACTATGAGAAACTTTCTTCTCTGTGTGTGTGTGTATGAGACCGACCAGATCTCTGAGGAAAATCTAAGCCGTTTCATAGCAAACTCAGATTTATTTTGTGGAGGGTTTTTTTGTACTGTGCATGCATTTTTAACAATTTCTCTTAGCTTCATTAACTCCCTAGTGTCCAGTTTAGACAATGTAAATATAACATTAAATACAACAGCTTTGTGAGATTTATGCATTTATAATTAAAAAAACCACAACCAAAAAAACCAAACAAACAAAAAACCCCAACAACAACCAACCAAACAAACAACAAAACACGCAAAAATTACGATTACCCTTGTATTCTTGGCCGTTTTGGTCCTCAGGAGGTGATTCAACTCTACAGTTTATATGGGCTCCCTCTTTTCCTGGAACACACAGGCTGTCTGTGGGCGCTGTCAAGCTCAGGGCATTTCTGCCAGGAACTCCAGGGTCCCTTGGCTACATAGGACAGTGGTGATGGAGGGAACTTGTAGGGAACACAAGTGTGCTTTTAATTTCAGAGGAATGTTTTGCTGATACAGATCTTCCAGCTCCCATTACCTGATACAGGGAAGATTGATGTAGACACATCAGTGTCAAAGAGTAAGTCCAGAAAACTAGCTCGTAGTCCAGAATATACACCTGAGACACTTGGGATGGAAAATTTTGTTCTAAAAGATTAAGATTTGACATTATAAATGTCAAGAGACAATTAAAGCTCAGAAAATCAAAACTAGGTAAGTTGAATATTTTTTAAAGCATGCTTTCTACTTCATTGGCCTGTCCATCAAAATATCAATAATGTGTATTTATATTAAAAGGAATGTAAAGTACTATTTTCTTACTCCTAAGTAAGAAAAGCAAACAAACTATAAATAGCATTATAGGCTCTTTCAACCCTCTTCAGCACTGAGAATTAGAGCGAGCTGAGTAATTTTTGATGGGGAAAAAAATAAGCAGGGAATGCCAGTTTGTCAAACTCAGATTTCTGAAGGTGAGACTCTTAGGATCACCTCATTTTCGATGACATACAGCCACAGAACTCCTGTGAAAACCTGCATGCTCTCTGCAGGCTCATCTGGTGGTTGTTTGGGGTTCCTTGCCATATAGCCTGCTTAGGGCAAGAGGCTCCAAGTCTGTAGAGCTTCTTGGGACGTATGTTGTACCACTCAAATTACTGTTTAACAAAAACCCTGTATTAAAGATTGTTTTTTCAAGGTCCTTTATGTTTTATCTCTCTGAAATAGTTACAAATTATGTTCAGGATGTAAAACTGTATGTTAAGAGGCAAGAATTTGTTATACTTCAGAAGTTTATCTTGAGAAACTGGTAGATACAACACAGTGGTATCAGTTACAGATATAAAAATTAAAAATATCTGTAAAGAAAAATATTATAATCACATCACAAAATTAAAGAGGACTCAATATACTCCAGTAATATTACATAGGCAAATAATATAAAAATTAAATCTCTACCTATTTCCTATCTGCTAATATTTTTAACAAACTGAAAGCATCACAAGGAAGGTGTATTAGACACGGGTAAAAGACTTCAGTAACAAACAGCGAAAGTTTAAAGATGTTGCTTTGAAAATACCAGATAACTGATTTTAATTTTTCTGTGCTGGTAATGTGCTGTATGCCATGTGGTGTGGACCTGTGAGCCTGTTAGCAACTTCCTTCTCACACAGTTTAACTCAAAGCAGTCCTTAGGAAATATTGCAAGAAAAATAAGCAGCATGCCCTCAGAAGTGTTTTTCTAACCTCGGTCTCTTACTCCCTCCCCCAATTGTTTTGGTTTTGGGTTTGTTTTTTATGCACTAAGCAATGCACATAAATTTAAGTAAGCTGGAACTATAATCATGTCATAACAAATTTATATAAAGCCATGTAAAAGAGACAGTATTAAATTTAATTGGAAATAAATTGTTGTTTCTCCATTACAAGACATAGCGTTACTGGATAAAACCCTAATATGCAACTGTCCTTATGACCCCGTGCGTCTCATCAAGCTTTACCTTTTAGCCATTTTTTATAAATGTTCTTAAACACCTAGATAATCATTTTACTAAGTCATTGCAATGACATACAACTTTGTCATCTGGCTCAGCAATTACCAATCCATAGTCATATTTGTTACTTATGTTCACTAGATTTATCTGAACATGCTTCTTGCTAATAACCTGTTAAAAAGGAACCATAAAACCCAGTTCCAAAATCTATTTAACCTCATGACCTTTCTTTTTCCCAAAACCAGCCAATATGAATGCCTACAGATGAATAGGAAAGCAGAGGAAGTGATGGAGGGATACCTCCCTGGTAGACTCCTCCAGATTCCAGTGAAGTGTAACATGAGTTACAAGTAGCTTTACTGTTCTATAATAAAAGCCCTTTTGTGATTAAAGCTGTAGGAAACTGAGCCTAGATATTGTTTTCTTGTTGGCTCAAATATCCATAACAAAAATCTTGCAAATAACTTAAATCGGATTAAGTTCCTCTCTCGGCTTTCCTTCATGACCTCCATCCAGCCTCTTGCTCCTTCACCTTCATGCAATCTGCTGCAGTAATTGTACCAATAAAATCACAGAAAAAAATCTGAATTAAGGAAGCACTTTCTAAATTATTTTCAAGCAGGCTTTTTCCCTGCAGCAATGGGTGTACAGTGCAGTCAATCACACTCCTCCAGTACAGCTCTGATGCTAAGCCCTGGGATAGGGATGAACATGGGTGGAAGGCTGAGGAATGGGGACAGTTTAATCTGATCTGGCTACTGAGACAAACGTGATTTGTAACTCCACTATAAAGAGAATAATCTTTAGGAAGAAGAGGGATTTAATGTAATGAGGGTCCAGCATTCAAATGTTACATTATACTAAATGTTATCATTAAAATTTTCTATTCCAAATAATTGACACTCATTTCTCCAACACTGATCTATTTGTCCACAACAGAGGGAAAGTTCAGTCCCTGCCACTGTTAATCCAAATCACACATAAAGAAATTAAGTAGGAAAACAGGATGAGTTAACTTAATGCAGTCAGTCAGCTTGCTCTCAGATTTTAATAGCCAGAAGTGAAAGAGATTAATAGCATACTACCTTTACAAAAAAGTATTTCCAAATAGTTGGCATGTATTTGCTACATCTTCCCCATTTGATAATCACTATATTTGAATAATTTTACTGATGTGTTTCTCAAGCTTGCTTGGAAGAACATTTCACAGATATTTTTAGAGTGCATACTGCATTCAGCGTGGAATTTTTGCTGTTCGAAAAGGCAGTTAGATGGATCTAACATGACAAACTGTCTTGCTGCTACTCACCTAGTTATTATTCAAGTCCCTAAAGTTAGTTACAAGGATTTTCTAGTACTTTTTATTAAGCTGCTGCCCTGGCTTTTCCTCTGTTTATAAAGACATAAAACTGTTTGAAAACCACCATCCATTTCTCAGCAATAACCACTAATGACTCCACAGCTGCTCCATCATCTTCTCCAAGCACTTCATGGTGAATTTCTTATCAGGCTGATTTGAAAACTCTAGCTTCTTTCAACATGCTACTTGTGACAAAGATCTCCTGATAATCTCATTTTCAGAAACGCTACTCCCTAGGCCTCATAAGACAACATATCAACACATATGACAGGTACAAACAAAACCAGTAAAAGACTCAGGCATCAGTAGGTTTATAATTAAAAAATTAAACATAGTTTAAGGTCTGAAGTGCTTCCTACTCAAGGACAGACAGTTTGTAAAGTTCTTTGATGGGAAGGAGTGGAAGGAGAGCAGGAAAGTTTAGTGAAGTTTAAAAGACTGACAAGTAGTTCAGCACAGAACATCATGATTGTCTGCAAACAAGCCTGCTTCACAAATGGCCAGATCTGAGTCCCTTGTAAAGACCCATCAGCTGCTACCATTAACATTCTTAGCTGGTTAAAATAATCACGATTCAGCAGTGGCTGAAATGTAATGACACATTTTATAGAAATAACTACCATGTTTTACTTTGCAAAAGGAAGAAGAGGCAAACATCATGCTAGTACCCTGATCGACAAAAATAAGTTACTTTGTCCATTTATTGTCCCTTCCGCTCAAAGAGGTTGAGAAGAAAAAAGGAGAAGCACAAGACAGGAGATAAAGTACAGCTTAACACAAGGGGGAAAAGTGCAAATTCCTTTGATTCATTAAAACAACATTACACCCAACCTCCCCCAACCCCCACTGCCACCCTCACTGAAGTTACAAAAGCAGTGGATGATTTTCTGTACAGCCCCAGCCTACTTTATTTCAGAATGTGGAGTGCAGGCAGTATTTTGAAACACAGGAAGTATTTTGAAAAGAGTATTCACAGGTTTAAGATGCAAGCATGTACTGCAAATCCCTACAGTGAAGGGATGTGAAAAGCATTAGGGAAAGATGACAGTATATTACTGTAGTCCATCAATAAGCCATTGACTAATAAAACAATCCCAACAGGGGTTTCATCCCTTATTTACTTCCTCATTCTTCCCAAAACATCAAGCAAAGGGCAATTTATTATTGCTCTCTTATATTCCTGAGGCTGCCATTTGGCAAAAATGCAGAGTTCACCTTTGCTGTGCAAAACCTTTGTGGTTTCTGTATCACACTAGAAGTTTCTTCCACTTGTCCATTTTTATTTACACATAAGTAACAAAATACATTAAGTTTGAATAATAATCTTTATTTATTAGTTTATTTGTAAAAGGTACATTGTAATCCTGAGCTACTGCTTTTATACATTTAGCATCATACAAAGACAGGTCATTTACAGTTTGATCATTTACATTTATTGTGCTCCAAAATCCTTATCCGAATATCATTTTGACTTAGCAGGAACATAGATAATTTAAATTACATGTATCCCTGAAACATCCATATTAATTTACCCATCTGACCCCATTATCTAAATTACTACAGTTGTCTAAATCACTCAGGACATTCCTTCTGAATTTAGCAAAAACTTGTTTAAAACTATAAAGATGGGCAGTGCAAGAACTGGTCCCTCAATCCTTTGTGAATACATCATTAGAAAAAACTTTCTGTTTCCGTATTCTCTTGACAAGTCAGAGCTAAATTGACTAGATGTACTGGATGGAATGGTCCAAGTAACAGTTTACTCATTTCCTTATTACAGCAGTTAATGAGAATTTACAGTGTCTCCCTTTGCAGTGACCAGTGTCATAAGTCTCCCAAACATGGAAAATCTGACATGATCAGAGAAAGTAAGAGGAAACCCATCACCACCTTATTGTCATCTACATGACACTGAAGTATTACAAACCAATTCATATGAAATGCTTCCCTTAGACCCTGTAAAGGAACTTGCACGAATAACCGGAGTTAAGTTCCATAATCCGAGCATGGCTTTTAGGATTTGCCAGTTAAAAAAACCCACAAAAAAAAAAAACCAAAAAAACCCAAAAAACCCCACCAAACAAAAACAAACAAAAAACCCAAACAAACACCAAAACCAAAAGCTCAATCCCAGGATCCTTGAGAAGAAAGCATTTATCCTAACTGAAATCCAATCCTGGATAAATGGAAATTTAATTGGACTACCAAAATAGCATCTCTCTATCTGAAAAATCTCCAAGCATACAGTGTTTACAAATGTCTCTCTAGCAACAGTGTCAGTCTTTTAAAGTACACCCATAACTTTCATTTCCTGAATAAGGTCGCTATGATCTTAGGCAAAAGGTACAGTAAGCAGTTCAAGCAAAATGCTTATTGCTTAGGTTTTAAAGCAAGCCACTTGAATAATTTTAGTTAAAATGTGAAGTACAAATGTGAAGCTACTGTAGAAACACTTATAAACACTCTTGCTTTTGAACTTTTACTGATCATCTGGAAAATTGGCAGACGGATTTTAACATAACAAAGGAAATGTAAAACTTAATACTGACTGTTGAAATAAAATTCAACGCCTATAAAGACAGAGTTATGAACATGTAAACACAGCTTTAGTATTCAGAGCTAGGGAATCTAGCAGCAAAACAAACTATTTGCATATTATGTAGTGCAATGAACATTTGTTCTTAGAGACCCCCAGTCTTTAAACTACTTTGAACAGAATGTAATCCTTACAGGAAAGGTTTTAAAAGTGTCCAAGATGTAATATCCAGAATTACTAGACATTCATCTATAACCTAACAATTTCTCTACGCAAAACTGTGCTCTGGATAACTGACTTTAATGGCTCCCCAGTAGCAGGCTCGAATGAGGCAGATTAAACCTAAGAGATAAGCAACAGCCCAAGAAACATATGTTGCGTGAAATCGCCTGGCGAAATCTTGTGTACCAACCTAAAAAGAGAAAACAGAAGTGTCAAACACACAGCACTATTTGCTCTTCAGAGAAGAGCAAGTTATATTAAGGAGAAGCATTTCAGCACCCTTTCAACTCTGGGAAGGGCAAAGCAGATACTTTATTAGCTTAACTTTACAGAACCATAGAGTAATTGAGCTTGAAGGGGACATCAGGAGACCTCTAATGCCAACTTCCCGATCAAAGCATGGTCAACTCAAAGGGCAGACCAAGTTGTTCAGGCTTTTAACCCAGATGTGTCCCAAAAAACTCCCACGGATGGAGGCCACACAAGCCTGTGGACAAACCTCACGGAAATTTTTTTCCACATAATTTTTAGACTCAGTAAGGTCATGAAAAAAAAAAATCCATCTCTCACTGCTTTTATTTCTGGATGTCTTTTTTTTTTATTAGGGAAACTGGAAAATCCTTCATAACTCATTTAAGCTCACCCATAAATAATTATTCGAGTTAAAATGCAAGTTAGAGGCCTAATGAGAATTCCATGCACAAATTCACTGCAGGTATTTCCTCACATGTACTTTTCTGGGATTGCCAGGTAGAAAGTTGGCTCTAGTAACCAGTACCAGATACCGGTAAACCAGACAGTTTTCCAAGTAGCAGAGCAACAAGGGTGTGAGCTTTTTAATTTTTAGATAGCTTGTTATCTGGTTTTACTCCTTATAGCTTGTACAAATGACAAATACATACATAATTCTAGCTTTTGGAATCCCATTCACCTCCACTGCAGTGAAACATACATTCCTGGCTATACAGCAACATGTATTTCTAGAAACGTGGAAGTTTTGAGAGCTCTAGCAAGAGCAAGATATTCCAGTATTTCTACAGTGACGTAAACCATTTTTCATAAAACTGAAGGTTTTAGAGAGATGAAGAGTCAAATTTAACATCAGAACAAAGTAACATTCAAAGTGCCAGAATACTTTTTTTTTTTTAGAAACATTTCATTTTTCTGGCTAAGTCCACTGTTTTAATAAAGATGACAAAAACAGCACAGACTTAGGAAGGTTTACTCAAATGCTGGGGAAGGAAGAGCAAGTGAACTGAGAGAGCTCCTTTGATCACACGCCCTCACACACAGTTGCAATTACATCACGGGGCATCACTCACAGTTAATCCAACGCCAATGAAGATGCATATCATGCCAATTGTAATATACGCACAGCAGCGTCTCCGTGGCAGCGCACTTCCAACAGATGAACTGTGAGGAAATAAATGATGTTGTAAATTGAACAAAAATACCCCCATCAACCAAATAAACACCACAAAAACAACCCCTGCCATCAATAGTAACTAAATAAGGGAATAGAAAGAGAATGGCAACACACAACCCTGAAATTAGCTTGGCTGGTTAGAGCATGGTGCTAACAATGCCAAGATTGAGGGTTTGATCCCTCTGTGGGCCATTCACTTAAGAGCTGGACTTGATGATCCTTGCGGGTCCCTGCCAACTCAGAATATTCAGTGATTCTGTGACACACACCATCTTCAGTTTATAAAGTTGTAAGGAAAGTCTAAAATTTTACTACAAAGTACAAGACACAGTCCACACTTGTTTTAAAGGGGAACTATTGGTGATTATCTAATACCTAAAAATCTAGGTGCTTACAAGAAAGAGGATGGTGTCCCACCTTCTGTACCCACAGCACATCCTAGTAAGTATCCTACCGGATGATAAAGCCTTTGGATTGCAAAACTTGAGCTGGCTTTGCAGCTTCTATGTAGGTTGCAAGACACCCTTCAGATTTGATTCATCAGCATACGGCCTTAGTATATTCACTGCATCTAATTAACTGCAAATCACTTCTACTATCCCTAAATGTCATTAATAACAACCTTCATTATCCATTTCCTGGAATAGTTCACTCAATACTGTTCAAGTGGCTAAACTCAGTCCTGATTCTTGAAGGTAACACAAATAGTTTTAGTCACAGATGTGTAATTTTTTTTCCATGTTCAGCATCTCCAAAGACTGAAATGCTTTAGATGTCTTTAAGTCAGTTTTAGTAACTTCAAAAACATGACAAGTTCTTCTTACTTTCCAATTTCTTTTAGAGTTCTACCACAAGTTACATGAGCTGCACAAATCACTTCTGACAACCAAAGTAAATAAATGCCCTGGAAGTTCTGTCACTTATCATCTGGACTATGAACTCCATGACAGTTTTGTCTCTACTTCCTGCATCAAGATATCAGAGTGCTTCAAACAGGATATAAAATGCAAATAAAACATTACATTATTTACTACAGGTTAGAAAAATTATTTCAGAAGCTTAGCAGTGTTTAGCAAATACATCTTGAGTCACACATCTGCAATGGCATGCAGCTATACTAATGAGGAAAAAACGAACATGATTTAATTTCATTGAAACACAACTAAAAGGACTATAGAGGCAGAGGTTCTTTCATAAAAACATGCACCATCTATATTAGAGGTAGTTTTGAAGCATCCTGAAGTATGCTATCATTAGTTAAGTTACTTCATCCCGTTCTCTGGAAGATCAACACAACTTTGGAAATAATGGAATGCTTGTATTCTGTGTTCAAGGATGCAAGGGAAAATAATTTTCATCTCATGATAGCTCAACATATTTAAGAAAAATGCATAACAGAAGAAAACACTGCTAAACTATTAAAGTAGTACATGCATCATATGACTGACCAAATTTCTGGCTCCAGTTAATTAACCACATAGTAAGGCCTCATATGCTTAGCATGTGACTAAAATTTTTTAAGCATTCATCTTAGAAAGCCTTCAAACAGAGTTTAAGCAGCTTTACTCCAACATTATTTCTTTACAAGGAATTTCTAAAATGATCCAAGAAAAAAAAAAAGAAAAAACCAAACCAAAACGCACACCATCAGAGTCCTCAAGCTAACACCCTGAGCTTCATCAAGCTAACACAGCGAGCTTCATCTTGCAAGGCAAAGAGTTGAAATACAGTGACCATTCAAGTCATTTTCAAAAGAGCAGGAAAAGTCCCAAAACAATTCTGCTCATTAATTTCCATGGGGAAATTATTTTTTGCCAAAAACCTTACAATACACATGTGGGATGGGATTGGGGGATGTGTGTGGTGTCATCAGTATGGGAGAATTCCCAGTTGGGGAAGTAATGGTATCTTACAATCCTCACACACACACACACACCTCTACACACTCCCTCAAAAGCCACCCTACAGCCATTCCAGAAAAAGGATATGTTGTCCAATTGCAAGTTACATGAGGAGAAAAATAATCAAACCAAAAAGCACTTTTATAAAAGGGGAAAGCAAGGAGATGTTTGCCAAACTGACCTTAGATTCCCTCCTTTGCAGGATTTCCTGGCTACGTACTCAGAAAGTTAATTCTATTACAGAGCTGGATACCGTCAGATAAGCTGGTAGAAATGTCATGTTCAATACACCTAAAATATGCATGATATTCACCATGCTGTGCAGCTCACACAGAGGCAAAGTTAATTCTGGGAAAGAGATCTTCAGTTTCAGAGCTGACTTATGATCTTGTTTTTGTAATCATAACACTGCACGTGCTGCGTGTATTTCCCATCCACATTTCTCTCAAGCTCTGTCTCCTATACAGTAAGAAGGGCTGGGGGAGAAACCATCAGTGCCACAAAAAGGAAGTGTAACAGCTTTTCTCTTTCCATGGAAAGCAAAGATGAAATAAGTTTATTAAGTTTCTACAGTCACATAACAGACCTGGGAATATTTAGCAATCCAAATAAACCACAATTCATTTTTCACCTTCCTGACAGTGATACTAGCCACTGGCCCACTCTAAATAGTGAAGTTTCCCTCTACCCACCCCAAATTACATATAAAAACCCCAAACTAACTTTGAAGAAAGAAAGCTAAACTCTACCTCAAAACCTACCAACTGCGACAACTTTGACAAGCACGTTTTGAATTCTGTGATCAAAAGAACATTTTCACATCACAGAAGCAGCTGATTAGTTCCATTGTGGGACTGTGAGGGAACTCACTACAGACCTGTCCAGAAGGCAGTGGTTCTTTGCTTCTGAGCTGCGCTGAGGAAGCAAAGGCACCTGCCAGACTTTTGGGCAGCAGTAGCAAATATAAAAGACACCAGAGCCAATTTAGCACTGGGTAGTAATTAAAAGAGAGAAAAACCACCACAAGGGACAAAGGCTATAAAAGAAGTAGCACAGGAAAGAATGCTGGGTCTCTTGTGCTCCAAATAATAGGAATTATAGTCAGGATTTCAGACATGCTTTCAGGAGGGTTTTTAGGAGGAAAATCAAAATGCCAGTATTTTGAAGGTGAATAGCACTGCTGAAATTAGCCTCCACAGTAGTGATGGGATTCCAGCATCTCTCTTTTTCCTAAAAGTCCTGCAGTCTTTATGGAGTAAAGCTGTTATAAATTCATTAGGGTTCACAGTTTTGTCAGACTGTAAAAAGTAAAATAGGTAGGTTCTAAAGGAAAAAAGATTTGACAGTCTGAAATAACTTGTAGCATCAATTCTCTTTCTAGTAACTGAATTCATGATCCTGAAGTTTCTGGATGATTTAATATACAGTTTGGGAAAGAGAACGGCAGACATTAAAAGAACAATTCCAGCTTCTTCTCCATCATTAAACAAGAAAAATACCAGAAACCTTTCTTAAATCTCTCACTCTTTTGGGAAACAGGCTGAGAAACATCTGGTATTTTGCAATACAAAAGAACACTAAATCAGTAAAAAGTAACAGTTTCTCTCCCATTCCTAGGTGCCACTATAAAATAAAGCTGTATCATGACAGTTTCCTCATTAGCTACATTTGTTGTCCCAAAGCAGCGGATAACATGCAACTAAAGGCCTGAGACAGGCTGAACCACTATGCATCACCAGGGCTTCTGCAAACACCTTACCTATACTGGCACGACAGGTTTACAGTCTACTTCCAAAGATATTTGGTCATTTACTAAATAAGTGATTTTATTCTCTGCATCACAATTAATTTCCTGTATTTTCCAAGTTGTTTTGTGACATAATTTTTTTCTCTTGCAAAATAATAAAGTTGTAACCACAATGATAGCACATAGATAGGACTAAAACCAAACAAGAAGATCCTATTTCTCCCAACATCCAGATATGAAAGGTTCCTTTGTTTACGTACTCTGAGGCACGATCGCTTTATTTTTCCCTGAACATTGTTTCATTATTGACCTTTTCATGAAGTAACTCCTGATCTCCCCTGCAGTTTTAAAAGACATTCTTAATATTAAGATCTAGCTTCCATCAACCAAATAGGAGGTCACAAACAAATAATTTGCTGCACTGCTGAAGAGATTCACAGCACTTTTAAAAACATTTGAAGCAAAGTTAAGAAAATTATTTGAGAATCTAAAAGTCTCAGCTGATGCCTCCTTGAAAAACTTACTGCAGCAGTCATTCATGGTACCTTGTGCCTTAGTCTACACTATCCTTTTTTCAGTGACAGTCATCCACTGAGTCAACAGAAGGAATGAATAGTTTTGCATCTGACTACTCAGCTACTAATGAAAGAAGCTTTGCATTAATAAGCTGGAAATAAAGAACCCCACATTCCCTTCTAACTACCTGGCTACAATGACCTCTGACAAAGACCCAAGAGAAAGCAGGTCACTGCAGTTATTTATTCCATCATCACGACTCAGAGCTCTGTCTCACCTATGCTGTGCCCTAAATCCAAGTATTAAAAATGTTTATGCTGCTGGAAGTGCAGAACTCCTGACCATCGCATCTCAAATGTGGGAAAACACCAAGCAACTCATTCAAGGCTAAATTACAATATTCCAGAGTTTGCATCCTCAGCCCAAGGGCAGACATGCCCACTTGTTAAAATTAGTTTTGTATTCTGCAATACAGTTGCTACGCAAGCTGTAATTATCACAAATTGCACTGCAGAGAGGCTCCCATTTCCTTACATACAGATAGCATGCTTTCCACTTTATCGACAGAGACACTAAGAAAACCTTAGACTCCAGCTGGAATTTAAAGTACAAGCAACGTTAATCAACAGTAAGACAAACCAAAAGATCACATGGTGTGACTTTCAGACTGTTGCCTGGAGTGTGGTTTATTTTGCTGCTGTTATTGTTGGGGTTGGGTTTTTTTGTTTGGTTGGTTTTTGCTGGAGGTTTTTGGTTTGCCCCCCTTTTTTTTTTTTTTTAGATTAAACAGCAAATAATTTTGTACCTAAGGAGAGTCAAGAAAAAAGCTGAGATCAGCTATCAAGAGTGACATGACAAAATATAAAACATAACTGCAATTAGTTTGAAAACAAACCAAACAGCAAAACATCAGCCCCTCCCTCAGGACTGAAGAGACTTAATGCAATCGCAGTCTGTAAAAAATCCCTGAAGCATCTCACCAAGACTGAGTTTATTTGACTTAAGCAAACTAGAACATATCCACTACTACACACATGACCACTTACACTCCTGAGGTTAAACACAGCATGAGACTGACTTCTCTATCAAATACTCCAATGAAAGACTTCAACCACTGTTGAAGGCTGGGTCATGCCCACACCTACAGTACATTTATGCTAAGCCTTCTGCTTCCTGAGGGACCTGCTAGTTGTCCTACAACATGCAACACAGCTGTGGTTCTCCATTCCCAGTGGAAAACACATTTGCTCCTTTAACTGGAAGTCACACTTGCCTGTCAAAGGAAGACAAATATTCAAATAAATCAGCAGGATGAAAAGTCTCTGAAGACATATTTAAGTCTTATTTCACATCCTGTGGCTGAGTTGATGTTAGTAGTGTATGTTTTTAGCAACAATTCAAACTAAGTATTCCTGACCTCAAATAATAAAGGCCAAATACTCAAAGAGAGAGCTCCAACCAAAAAACCAAAACAAACTCTTACAGCTCTTCTATTTTACCTTTTCTTGTTCTCATTAAAGTAATAACATATGAGTAGACAAGTTATTCCACAGTAATTCATAAACATTAAACAAGCTAATGCATTAGGATGCTTAACACAAGTTAGTTGTTGAATTTATAACATCAGTAAAGCCTCTTTGAAATTAAGATTAGTTCTTTCTCCCTTTTACAATAAGGCAGTTAAAGTTCTAAATTTAAAGATGACATCTGATTACTACTGCATGAAGATGTAAAATTTCAAGGACATAACTTGTTAATTTTAGCACCCATTCCTCTCTATTGTTAGTAGCTTATTTTTGCCTCTATCAATTCAATCAGACTTTTCATAAATGCAGGTTAGATTTGTCAAAGTTACTGATTTGTGCATAAAGCGTGGAGAATTCATGTGCACACAATATGCGCTTTAGCCTTGAAGTTCAGATGAGCATGGCAAAATAATCGGCACAGCTGACATTTTACTCTAAAGACTTTTACAGAAGAAACACTAGCAATTTCACAGTAATTTACATAACCTTGTTTCCAGAGAACTTACATTTTTTTGCAGTGTGGGCATTTTGCTAGTGTGTTAAACCTCAGTTCCATCCACTGTAAAAAGAAAAAAAGAAAAAGGTTGAAAAACTGACCTGAAAAAATGTTTATTGCATTTCATCCTAAATGTCACTATGAAAACATTTTGCTTCTCAGACTTCCTTTGACTTGTTTCTTGCTTTCTTCCATAAATGGGATGCCCTTTTGTCAGTGGCAACATAGGATTGGGATTTCCATGTGAACATTTCCCATGACTTGCCTTAGTATTACAAAATTCACTTGACGTAATGTGGTTGCATCCACAGGCATAGTATGGGCAACATTATAATATTGTTTTTTTCTCTTACTTAACAGCTATGAATATACCCTGGATCAAAATAAGTGTGTTTTCTTTGGCACAATTACAAATGGGAGCATTTTCTCATCTTTCCCCAATCCTTGCATCATTTGTGAAAACTAAGTTATGGGTGCACAGAAAGATTAGCTAAAGAATATTTTAGAAAGTAGACATCTGAGTTTTATATCATTAAAGCAGAGAACACTGTTGGCTTACGTGACTTTCAAAAAGATGATATATAAAACTGTACGTGGTATGGTCAAAACCTTCCATGCACAGACAAAAACCTACGTGGGAAACAGCCTTAGCGAAAGTAGTGCCTAGAACTACCTCAACCAGGGGATAGTGATATACTCATTTTAAAACAGCATGTTCTGTTAAATTTCATTCTGTGATAACAGAAGTATTAAACAAGCATTTTAAACACGTTTGCCTTGATCAAAGGGATAAGGTTATTTTTCTTCACCCTTTAAGAAATTATATTATAATTGCAGCTCTCTTCTGTTGCCTTTCTTGAGTGGAGGTTAGTTTGCAGCTTTCCTGGTGAAATGTAGTTCTCATCTCCCCTCCCTTCTGGATTTTAGCAGAAGTCACACTGCAAATTATTAGCAGGGGAAGAAGCCACAGCACAGATCAGCAGTGCCTCACCTCCATTGGGATCTGCCTTATCTCTGTGAGAAATCTGGAGTCGGCCTACTGAAGTGAATAACATTATAACTGCTAGAACCACAAATCAAAATCAAAGCCCGCCCTTGTATGGAAAACAGGACCAGCTTACAGCACAGCACCATTTAAACTAAGAAAATATTTATGATTTTATGTGTAAAGAAAGAGGATGTGTCTTTGCCAGTATCAGCAAATTTTGCTGTAAAGTTTCAATCTGTAGTATTTAAATATAATAGCATTTAGAGTATATTTTTCTGCCTCTTGAAGGTCTCCCTCAGTTTTATTTACTTCTCAATTTTATTTACTTGGGAAAAAAAGAAATCCTTTTTTTTTCCCCCTGGTTCTGAAGTATCCAAGTACACATTTAAAGAACAACTATGTAACTGGTATTATTTGTTTACAAGGTTTGGCCAAACTGATTTAGCATAGTTCTGTTTTATCCCTTAAGACTTCTGGAATACTCCCCACCCGAGCAAAGCTTTTCAGGAGCATTAATTCTACTTCCACATTCCTGGCAGAGGAGCAAGTTAGGTATTTGCCTGCATCCCTGTCAAAAACCTACTCAATTTCCCTTAGTTCTATACATAGTGAAAGTGGAGTTGGATGCAGTTGTCAGTGCTGGAAATGGAGATAGGCCTCATCAGAGGGTTTACTTCAGCTTTTGAAACTACAATTCCAGAAACAGAAAACAGAAATAGGTAAAATGTAAGTTTTTGATATAGACTGCTTCACTTTCACTTTTGTACATTAGCTTTATCACAGTGTAGACTACTCCATTTCCAAACTTACTCATTAATGGTCTTTCTAGAATTTTTTTAAGATTCTAATTATTAGCCCTAATTATTAATGGTTACAAACTCAAATGCATGAGCTGGGCTCCAAGTATAGATGGAAAAGAGAGGCAACAATAATCTGTTTTCATAGAGAGTTACCTGGAAGTAACAGAAGCACTGACTGTTATGATGCTTTCTGCACATACCAGAAATATTTGCAAAGAAAAAAGAGCCAAAATATGACAAGACACTCAAACTACAAGAATTCAGATCACATCAGCAGTGGGAAAGGTCATGTTGATGTACATTCTAAGTCATGGAGCTTTGGTGGGTTTAACAAGTAGTTAAAATCACGCATAAGCTGGTATTTTTTACACATACTGCAATGTTATAGTACCTAATATTGATTCATGTTGTTATGAAAAATTTCATGTTACTGTGACTTGAAGTTATCTCTCTGCTGAGAATACAAACTGCATTTTTCTAACTGAAACAGTAGAATAAATGATAAGCCAAACCCCTGTTTAGATGTACTGAAACACAAATGAGGATATAAGGATTCCAGAGCTCTTCATTTCAGCTATGGACAAAACCAGATATCCATCAGAGGTATTACTAGAAGAACATGTCAGTCTTTTTTTCCTTCTGAGCCTCAGTGCATTTAATGTAAGATAGAAAGGAAAAAAAATGAGAAAGAAAAATCCTATGCATACACACAGAGTCCTACATAAAGCTGCTTCTCCAAAAGAAGCTTCCCCTCCACTCCCCTGAGGTCCTTTGAGAGAGCAAAATACTTGTGCAGGTTAAAACTCGTCTAAGTTTTCAGAGAAGTTTAAAGGGTTTTCTATTCAATTATTTCAGAAGAAATAATTTTCGTATTTGAATAGTTAAAAAAAAAATTCAATTGACAAAGCACAGTGCTTAGCCTACAGCCTGTGGCTTCCATAGCTTGCTGCTGACTTCTCCTTAAGATCTCTGCAAGCAGGACTGCAGCAGGAAGATGGCAGAGAGGGGGACAACAAAGGGACAGCCCTCCCTTGCCCACCACCATTTCCAAAGGCAACTCAGTCTCTGACAGCCACAAACTATCACAGGCAGAGCTCTCTCAGGAGGTGAGGGGGGTTGCAGGGAATGACTTACTGCTGGCAGAAACAGTAACTGTCACAGCCCAAGTCCAGAAGCACTCAAAAAAGCCCAAACCAGATCAAATTGTGATTTAGCAACAGATAAACCCATGATCTGCCCTCCTTTTCTATTCTACCCCATTTTCCACTTGTCTGAACTCCAAATCTGTCAGAAACAGTGGAAATCGTAACACAGAAAAAACCTGCATCAGGTTACAAAGGGAAGAAAAGATCTCATTAACAAAATGTGAATAACTATTGATAGCTCAGCTACAGTATCACTTTAGTACTAAGCCTGACAGCTAAGACAGAGAAACTTTAAGGCACTCCATAGTATGGAGAGTGCTTTTCATAATTTGTAAAAAGACCCCCACATGTATAGAAGCAGGGAAAGCACAGTCCATACTGATGTTTTCATATAAAAAAAAAAAAATCTTGGAAAGTGGTCAACAAGTTGATACACTCAAAAGAACACAGAACACTCAAAAGACAATTTGACTTTCCCACCCAAGGGATTCTAGCTTTGCTTGTCTATTTTCTTTATTTTTTAATGGCCAAGTAAAAGGGACAACCTACTGAGTCGCTGAGAAATGCATCTAGCATTATGTATCTTCTTTACAGTGTGGAAATAGCAAAAGGCAGAAATACCTACACAGAAGTTGAGTTTCCAGGCTGGCTAATTTATTTGTTTGTTTGTTTGCTTCTCTGCTCACTCTGAAATCCAAGCAATTTCCAGACTTCTCTTAACTAAGAATTTTATTTGGAGAATCTCAGACTTAATTACAAAAACAAAAGAGAAGCAAAAGTCTAGTGGAAAAGCTGTGTGAAGGGAGAAAAAATGGGTTTGTTTCTTGATAACTTGGCAAAAAAATACCAAACTTCCTATTTGTAATGATTTGGAAATTTTCAATGTACCACAAAGCAAGAAATTGGTCTTACTGGCAGACAGAACTATGAAGTTCAAAATCTTGCAGTTCCCCAAAGCAATCATTATATCTGAAGTCACATGCACAAATCCCAAAACAGAAAACTTTGTCTGTGAAGGCATAATCTAGTAGTTACAGTTTTATGGGTTTAGGTTTTTACCGTTATTTTCACCTGAAGTAGTTCACTGTGTAAAGTACAAAGGTAATTTAGGCTGTACTTATAAAAAGCAAATAGGGAATCAAGCCAAGTAAAAATCCCATGCTTATGAAAGTCCTCAAAGATAGGTAAAAAAAAAACAAAAAAAAAGGCAAGCACAAAACCCACTTCAGCTACCTTCAGTTGCTGACTTCTGCTCTTCAGCAAGGGCTCTAAGAGAAATATATATTTTTCAATATATAGGCAGAATTAGTAGACAGAATATTTCTCAAGCATCCCTCTAATGGTTTTTCAGTTAGCACATTACCTGTAAATTCATAATCAAATTTCTAATCTCTAATATCTGAAAAAATAAAAACAGAAGTGTAAGGGCCATTTCCTGCTTCCTGCATTCATCACCTACAATAGTAGTCAAGCCATTACAGCACACCTGTCCTGGTTTCAGCTGGGATTATCAATTTTCTTCTTAGTAGCTGGTACAGTGCTGTGTTTTAGATTCAGTAACAACGTTGGTAACAAATTAATGTTTCAGTTGTCGCTAAGTAGACATTTACTCTCAGTCAAGGACTTCTCAGTTTCTCATGTTCTGCCAGTAAACCAGGTGCACAAGGAACTGGAGAGACCACAGCCAGGACAGCTGAGCTGAACTGGCCAAAGGGATATTCCATACCATAGAACATCATGTTTGATATATAAACTGGGGGGAGTTGGTTGAGAGACGCTGATCACTGCTGAGAGACTGGCTGGGCATCGGTCAGCGTGTGGTGAGCAACTGTATTGAGCATCACTTGCTTCTCTTGGGTTTTATTCCTCTCTCCCTCTCTTTTCATTACTATTATTGTTATTGTCATCATTAGTAGTATTGGGTTTTTTTGTTTTAATCATTGAATTGTTTTTACCTCAACCCACGAGTTTTGCCTTTTGTCCAATTCTCCGCCCCACCCGGGCAGGGGGTCTGGGTGGTGGTTACAGGGATGGCCTGGGTTAAGCCACAAAAGCACCTCACTGATCCATACACCTGAAGTAAAGACTTGAAGGCAGAAATCTACTCCATTATAGAGCCCAACACAAGCAAACCCTTCTCTGCCTGGTACAAGCCAACATGGAGTGCCATTCCCTAAGCCTCCTTTTTCCTTGAGTATTCTCTGGTCTTTATGTATCTTATAATCCTTTGTTTCAGGAATGTAACACCACTGTCAGGACTATGTGGTTCCTTCAGCTGTACCACTTATCTTAGCCATTTCCCATAATTCACAAACCTGACAGAGATTCAAGCACTGCTGAATGATGAAGCTAAAGCTAACTTGTGTACTGTTCAAGTATGGCAGCCTCTTATCCATTTAGAAGGCTGCAAACAGTTCAACAACAAAAAAGTATTCTTGCATCCTTCCACTTAAAAAATGGGATAAACTGTCAGCCTCACATATAAACCAAAACCTCTAGTCTGTAAAAACTGACAGATATGCCAGTGGGCAAGTGCCATAAACAGCTTTCAGCAATTTCAGCAATAAATAGCAATGACAGAACCACTCTCTTAGCCACTGCAGAACACAGTCACCACTGCAAGATAAACAAAACCTGGAAGCATAACTTCCTTTTCCAGCGCTGTCCACGCTCACATCACTAAGCAGTAAGACAGACTTTAAGTTTTATCCATCCACACACAGAAAGACTGCTAAAAGTTTTCTTGAAACGCTTGTAAAGATAACCAAATACAGACCAAACATCCATAGCAATATGAAGACAGTTCCTCACTGATGCCAGAGAGTGAGGCAATACACTCCTTAAAAGTGCTTACAACAAATAACTTGAGGGATAGCCCAGTGAGGTGAGAAGGAGAATCTGGTGCTTTACTTACAAGGAACGTATTTCCACAATGCCCACACACCACTCTAGTTCCATCTGGTTGAACTGGCAAGGCAGGCTGAGCTGGCTGCTCTTCTGGAATCAGCATTACTGGACCGAGAGTAATGATGCGTCTACTGCGTTAAGAACATTAGATACACATATAATTAAGCTCGTAAAAGAGAAGGACGATGCATTTAAGCAATTAACAATTTAAGCAACTCGCTACCAAATATTTTTACACTTTTTAACAACAATTTGCTTGTTAAAAACAGCTGATGCACCCGGTTTGGGTCTCTCTCCAAAGTGTTTTCCTTTTCAGTTTTGAAAACGTTCTCTTTCACTCCAAGATCAGCCATGCAAGCCTGAACCCTGTACAGATCAAAGACTTGCCAGCATACGGCAGAAATACTCATCAGGAGAATGAAATCGTAATACCCAACCTGAGCAAGCCCATGAATTGCAATGCATTCACCTATGTGAAACATGTAGAAAGAGTATGGACTCTTCCCTAAACTAGTTCTCCTTCCCACACTACTGACAATCACGTCACTATAAGCAGCATCTCCACATTCGTACAGTAAAAATTCAACTCAAATTGAGTAAACTAAGAAAGAAAACTCCAGGTTGACTAAATGCAGCCAGTTTACTTTAAAAAACAGTTTGTAAGTATTTGTTTTTAAATTTAAAGTGTTTCGAGTTTAATTATAAAATTTGTCAGTCCAAAATGACAGTAACCAAATTAACCAACTCAAAACAGACTGAGGATGAGACTTCTTAGCATGAAAAAGCAAAGGGGAAAACTAAAGCATTATTGAATTTGCCCTGCCCCTCTCCATATACAACCAAAATTGTATTCTGGATAGCCTCCCTTCAATCTGGAGTCTTACTCCCAACTCACTCTCTCAAAGTACACCAATTTTGCTCACTTTCTAGCAAGATAAATACATATACTATCTTTAGGGAAACTGCCGAGATATATGATTTTGAAATTATTTTAATAAAATTACAGAGTTTCTGATTCAGTTTAGTTACCAACCATGTGATATATTGCAACTGAAGTATCCCATGAACATTCTTGCACTCTGGGAAAGTGTTTGGAATGTTTTGAACTCCTCCCCAACACCGCATTAGCAAAAAAAAAAAAAAAAAAAAAAAAAAAAAAATTCCCACAAGTATCAAACTGTTTCAAAACCACAACAGCCAATACAGTGGTGGCTATGGCACTTGGTGTGGTAGAGCTTCCGTTCATGTGTCTGCAGACTTAGTCTTCATCTCCATTTCTCCTGTTGGAGCTGCACCACTTATAATCAAACTACTCTTACCTTGGAGTAGTCTTTTACACCAAAAGTCAAAAACTGAGAGGAAAATGAAAACTCAGCATAAACAGGAGGGAGAACAGGACTGAAGCCAACTTACTGCTTCCTCTCCCATTTCATTCTAGAGTCCCTGCTCTGAACTAAGCAAAGGGAGCATCCTGTGTGTTTATAATAATTAAATCTGCAAGAAATTGAATTGTGAATGTTAAGTCCCAGAAACACACATGGATTTTCTTCTTTGTTGTTCTTTACATCATTTTTTTCCTTATGAAGTAGATAAAAAGGGACACACACATCTGAGACTAACCCTATATAGAAAAACATGAAACTTTTTTCCTCTTTAATCTTAAAAAAAAATATTCAAAACTGACACTAGCACTACCTTTGTCTGTAGTAATTCAGTACTGCTCTGTTAAGTGTCCACATACAGAGGCCCAGGCTTGAACCTCTTTTAATTATAAAAACTTAACACAAAGAGAGGTGTTGCTTTAAAGAAAACTATCACAATGCACTTAGAGTATTTTATTCTTACCAGTTTGGTCTTGGACAGCCTATTTTCCGAGACGTATCCTTACAGATAAGGAGACAGTTACATTGACATCTAACATATTTCTTCCCTGGAGGAGGGTTTTTGATTGGCTAAACAAAAAAAAAAGACCAACACAACCACCAGAGAACACATCAGAAGTCATAGCAATTCACTTTTTTCCACATAACAGTATGACAAAGCAGAACAACTTCAGTGACAAGTTCTTGCTAACAGAGAAACACAGTTCCTCTTACAGAGGAAACTTCACAGTCAAGACAAAATTAGAAGTTTTTTCTCTCTTCCCAGAAAAAGAAGTAAAAATTTCCTCAATAGAAAAAACAAGAGATTCTGCAAACTCAGGGGAAAAAAGAAAATTCATATTTTAGCAATGACAATTTCAAGGCTTCAGTTCAGTTTCATTTTTTTTAAATGTGAGCTTAAGGAGTAGTATATTTAAAAAAAATATAACAACAGTCAAAACATCAAACAAGTCTCCTTGCTTGGTACAATGGCTTCATTCAACAGTGAAAGGATCAACAGTCTGGTTCTCAGTCACTAAGGGGCTATGTAGACACCACTGTACTCTAATCTTACTTTAAACTGTACTGAAATTATCTTTCTCCAACCTGGGAGTCCAGTTTCAGTGTCCCTTTCATACAGCAATTCAAAACCTGCAAGATATTTTGGCTTGAAACATTATATATCTGCAGGGAAAGTGACTATCAATGGCAGGTTCTCTACTCTCTCTTTCAAGTGGGGAAAAAAAAAAGTTTTCCTGCAGTTTTAAGGCTTCCTGCCTTCCGGACATAATTTAAAGTCCTTTTCATATAATAAATCCAATCCTGTGTCTTTCATACAAATGCTTCCAATAGCTGTGGAACGCTGCAGTATCAGATCCTGAAACTAAAACTGGCAGGAAGAAGAAAAAAAAGCAGCAGGAGCTAAATAGTGAAGACTTGAATTAAGAAAAGAGAAGGAGAAACAAATAGGTCTGGGATCATTGGAAAAGAACCTAAAACTTATGCATTTCAAAGTTGCTGTATTGTAGTCTACTGGCAAGCTAAACAACTAACCGAATAGTACTGCAGGAGGAAGGCATACATCCAGGGAAAGGTATGGGGTAGTTCCTTTGCTCCTCCGACACTTAGAATAACTCAATTTTTCATTTCTCTTTGTCCCATCAAAACCAATTTCATCCTTCTTTACAGAAGGGTAATTACTTAAATGACATCTTTGCTTTCTGTCCTCCTCAGGAGACATCCTGAACAGCCAGCTCAATGAAGATTTATTGTGCCAGCAACCCTTGCTTGAGCTTGCATGCCAGCTACACCAGCAGTCAGCTGGGCTGACAGGTCCTTAGTGGAGATGGCAGGAAGGGACTCACCTTTTGTAGGTGAGGACGTGAATTCCCCCAGCCACATACTTCAGCCTCCCCCCGCTTCCCTCCACAAAAAGAAAATGCTAAAAATCCATTTTACCGTAGCTTCATTGCAAACTGTGCACTTAACCACATGTTGGTGTAGCTTGCCATCCAAATTGATTAGCGACTGGCACACGCGGCAGTTTATTACAGGAACACCGCTGGCATCTGGACTTGCAATGGCAGTGTATGGAGGAGGAAGCTCTGCTGCAAGAGATAAGGAAATCTCAGCTGAAACACTAGAGGATCCTACAATACTTTCGGCAAATGTTGTCCCTAAGTCACAGTCTCAAGAAAAGAAAAAAAAAATATTAAAAACCCCCCAAACAACTCAAAGTTAATGGTTAGCATAAACAAAAGACAAACCTAAGTTTGCATTCCCCTTCTCCACAGCTTCTGTGTACACAAACATCAGCCATAGTTGTAGGTAAAGCAAACCAGCAGCACAAACAGCAACACGCTAAATCACCCCAGAAATGAGGATCCAACAAAACGCTCATCTATGCAACTTTATTTTCTTACCAACTTTTCTACCTCCCATAATTTCTGAAGACTGTGAAAAACTCAAACCCCAGACCTACTACAGATTAGTAGCAACTAGAGACTGGCTTTTGAAGAAAAAAAAAACCAGAACACCCAGAAAATAAAACAAGACACAGGGTAGGCAAAGGAGTCATAAACAGCCTTTACAAACATCTGAAAAGACTGAAACATAGACAAGTGTTTAAACATATAGTAACCAATACTAAAACACAGGTAAAAACACAGAACAGTCCTGAAAAGAAAACAGATCTTGAATGGGAAGTGGCATGAAGTGCTTCTTTTTTGAGTGCAACAACATCATTATCTCGGAAAAAAAAAAAATGAAGTCAGAGTTTCTGCTTTTAAGGGTTCCACATATTTTTCTTATCCAAGAGCCAAAGTATGGATGCACAAGGTGGTCTTTAGTCAATTAGAACAGGCTATCACAGGGAAAGGTATAGTGGCCTCAGGCCTCTGTAGAAGAGCAAACTTCAATTTTGCCAATCTTAAGTCCACAATGCAACAGTGAGGAAACGCTAAAGACCCTTTGAGGTTTAAGAATCCATGGAATGAAAATAATTCAACACAGCAATCTCTCACAAGCTTATTATGACAATTATTTGGCATGTAATAGCACCAACTTTTATTTCAAGTTCAGGGCTCTTCACGTAAGCAAATACAGAATTGGCATATTCAACAGTTCATAGTTAGCTTTTTTTAATACTAGTAGTTTGAAATACCTGCAGCCTTGGACTTTAGTAAGTTTTTTAAAATTACATCCAAGTAGCTAATGAATTCTTCACAGCAGCAATGAGAGATGAGCCTACTTTCAGTTTACCAACAGCACTGAACAGAACAGTATCTGCTGGAGGGTGGCGAGGGAAATCACAGGCTGCTATCAAAGCTGACAAGCCAAGTATTAAATTTAAGCATGTAAGAAAGCACTCATCACTCGTTCACCCTGTCTTAAAGTGAACGTCAAAAGCTGGAGGGATATAAGAAACCCTGTCTGCCCTTCAAATCTAAAAGTCATCCCACACCTTTGAAGCAGCATTGCTGTTCAGTGTTCTCTCTCTCTTTGCCACTTGGTCTACAAATGACCCAGACCTGTGCTTGATTTTAACTCACAGAGGAAGCAAGAGAACAGTGGATACCTTCAAAAGAACCACATCCAAGATACTTGAATTATTTCAGATGAGGAAAAAAAATTAACTTATATGCAGCAATACATTTCTGAAGTCATGACACACGCTTATTCTCCATTATTTGAGCAAGTGAACTTCACACGTTCAGCTTTGATATACCGGTTAGAGAAAACAACATCATTATGAGATATTAGGTAACAATGTTGTGATTTCTTCTGTTTCTGAGGAATTATGTACTGAAAAAAATGCAGCATCCAGTAAAAAAAAACAACAAAAAAAATCACAAAAACAAAAACCCAACAAAAACCAAACCAAAAACCAACAAACTAAAAAACCCACAATATTTGGCAGTACTATCATATCCTTTTTTAAGTAAGACTGCCACATATAGGACAGGAGATATTACAAGATATTAACAAACAAAACACATACAAGACAAAACCCCAATCCACACACACTCTGGCAATTAGAAACAACCTCAAGTCTACTAGATCACTGCAGAAACCAGGTTAGAGCTTTGGATGATAGGAACAGCAGTGCCTTAGCCGCGAGTGGCAAAGTCAAGGCTGCTGCAAGGGGGTTTGGCAGTCAGCAGGCTGCTTAACTGCTCCTGCAGCGAGCAGCTGACACTTTCTGGCTTGGGAAAAAGGTAGCAATAGAACAACAGACACATTCAGCAGACCACATATCAAACTCTGTCAAGACACCCCTACAGTTCACTCCCAGCTTTAAGGGTGCTTTTCTGAAAAGCAACAATTGTGTTTCAGAACTTTTTCGCTTTGTCCTCTCCATTTAAAGTGCAACTTCTTCACTCTGTCAGCTAGGAACAGGGCAGCAGTACTAAGGAAAGGCAAACAATATCTTGAAGGGTATCAGAACATAAAAATAGACACAGTCCCCAGTCTTTCAGCTTTCCATGATCCTGGAATACTTTAGAAATTGGTAACTATACCCTTCTAGACATATATAATTTTCTATACCCTATTTCTAAGTGACAATTCTTAGGAGTTTGAAAGCTAGTTAACTGAGGTGCATGAGCCCCTACAGACATTGCCAGCCACTTCTCCAGCCTCATACTGGAGCTGCTTGGCTTCCAGGTAAGCAGCCTCGCTGTTCCTGTCCTGCTGGCTCAGCAAATATCGGATAGCAAGCAAATAATGGCTGCTTTTCAGAATGGTGCTGCAGCAAATGACATTTGCTATGGAGCAGAAAGTCGGTGGTATCTTGGCACTGCAACCCTCATGCTTAAAGAAAACGTGCATTTGGAAGAGCTCCAAAAAACTAAACCAGCAAAAGCCACCAGAATTAAGTTTAAAGAAAAGTATATTGGAGAGAGTGAGGGGTTGGGGGTGGTGAAAAGGAAAATAAAGGCATTGTCTCAGAGTTTGCTGCTTATTACTCCTTAATAAAAAAGTTTCAAAGCACATTAAGATACTTTGGTATGACCTTTTTTTTTTTTTGACAGCCTGAATTTCAGGTTAACTATAATACCTAAAACCAGTTCATAAAGGTCTGTCACGCTGGACATGACTGGATTATAGGCAAGGTTCACATACACACCAGGAGACATTTAATGAGACACTGAATTTCCTGCTGCTGACATACCAATTTGCAGCTGTATTATCAATTTAAAAAAAAATAAAGAAAATTAAACAATAATTAGTTCAGCAAGATTAGCAAAATGCCCTACAATGCAGTACATCTGAGTCCCTTCTCACCCCCACAGTAGAGCAATGCAATGGAAGATATCCCATATTCAACCTGAGAAATTCCTTGTGGTATTCGTGCACTTTCCTCCCTTGGTATTTCAAGGGTGGAAACCACAGAGAACCACTTGCAAAACAAACAAATGAGTTTGTTTTGTTTATTTGATTTAGAAAAAAAAAAATTATTCTTTATCATGACTTAGGAGGGGGTGGGTGAGGGAAAAATTAAGTGATCTATGTCAGAGACAGGTAGTTAAGAACTAAGAAAGCCTGAGGGAAGGGGGGCTAAAAAAAACCAAACCAAAACAAAAAATGGCATTGAATAACCACCTTAGTACAGAGAGCAGAGCTGACAGTCCCACCCTTTGTCTATGTGAAAAGCTTTTCAAATACTCTGGCCTGCATCCACACTAAAAAGATTTTTCTTGCTTGCTTCCATCATAAGGAACAAACACTGAGCCATTACCAGGATTCAAACAGCTTGCATTGAAAAGGGTCAGCTAGGTCCCAGCTGCAGCCCAACCACCATGGCCTCTCAAAGCTCAGGATGACATATTGGGCACAGTAGTTAATTACAGGGATAAGTCTACTAATGTACGTTCAGGTGGTAGTTTTAAGGGCGAAGGGCTTCTTCCTCCTTCCTCTGCCACGCCACATCAGTCAGGTGATGTTAAAGATGGACGCTCTTGCAATAGGAGGTTTGGAAGCAAACCCCAACTTTCCACAAGAATGCTTCTTCTCTCTACATCTAGACTTGTGCTAGGGAGAGAGATAAAGGCTGCCTGTTAGCTACAAAGGTGGTTTAGTTTGCCTAGATCCTTTCACTAAGGAAAGTGGAGCTACTGGGTCTATATCACAATTCTGCAAGACTTTGTTCTGCAGCTATCTTTTTGTAAGTGCTGTAGAGCTGCCTAGTATGCTTGCCCGTGGACGACTGAACAAGAGGTCTTTGATGTTTAAGAAAGCTCTAGGGTTGGTTCCTCCTCACTTCTGGGAACAAGCCACTTATCTGAAACACCACACCCCACCACAGGTGCCCAGCCAGTTACCAGGAATTACAGATGCCCACTGAGGGCTCAGTAGGACACAGCTAACAACTGAAATGAGAATCTGGGCTCCAGCTCCTTACCAGGTCATGAGTTTTACCCTTGGTTCAGGTAAGAGTCACTGACCTAATGCATTTTCATAACTTTTCAAATCTATAAAGACTTTTAAAAAAACCCCAACAGATCAAGACATATACAAAAGATAAAGGCTACTAAGAATAAAACCATCAAACACCAGAATTTAAACTCAGTTGGATTTCTGAATTTATATTTTTTTTAACTTAGGAGATGATGCCAATCCTACACAAATTGATTAGGGAAAAAACAAACAAAACAAAAACCTCAACCTCTACTGATTTTCAGGCCAACATTCCTTTGTCCAATTCAAATGAAAATAAACAGTCAATATCAACTACAGCCCTGATTGAAATACATTTTAATATCAAGACAAGGAGGCCTAGCTTTCCATAAGTTTAAATATTATTCTAAAGAGACAGATGCTCACTCACTCTAGTTACATACATGTCATAAATATATACAATTACATAGAAATCCCCAAGACTAACACACTGGAGCTATTGAGATAAGGATTGTAATCTTACATTTTAAAGGCTACTGCTAGCAAAGGTACTCTAATCTTATCGATTCTTTGTTCCTTCAGCTTTCTCCACACCTCACTTTCTGCTCTAAAACATTAAACTGAAAAAAAAAAAACCAAAACCAAACCAAAAAGTCTACTAATGTACTTCGTAAACATCCTGATTTATATTTGCTAAGTAAAATCTTTTCACCTACTTATTAAATATTCAGTATTGATCAACAAGATGATTTTCTTAAGTCTGTGCAAGAAAGAACGTACCCTGTAATTATGCCACGATTACAGATTTGGAACCACAGTACCTGACTTGCTTTAAAAATAAAGCCAAAGCCAGCTACGGCCTTGAAACGCGTTTGCAAGGACATCCTAGTGGTTTTGGACTTCAACTACCACATTGCACCGAGCCCCTTCGCTGTTTCAATCGGCCTGCCGGCAGAGGGGCCGACGGCAGCCGGGCACCTCTGGGCTGTGGCACTGCGATGGCAGGCACAGCGCCGACACCGCCGACAGCCCCTCCTGCAGCTGCCCGTGCCCTGCTCAGCTCGGCACCTTCCACCTCACCCTGCTCCTAACTGAGGGGGGAAACCCAAGTCCAACGATCACTCTGCAAGCTGCGGCATGCCACAGAGTTATAATAAGCAGACCGGTTCGGGCTTGTTCTGCCCCTGCAAACAATTATTTTAATGCCTCTTATTTTTCCTGCCGAGGCGCCGAGGCCGGGGAGCGCGGCGGGGAGCAGGGCCTACAGCCGGCCCTGCGCGGCGTTACCTGTTGTTCCCACCCGCGGCCCGCCAGCCGGGGCAGGGCGGGGGCTCCCCCGGCCCGGCCCCGCCGCCCCTCGCCGGCCAAGGCGGGGGAGCCCCCGCACCGCCGCACCCGCGCCGCCAGCGACAGGGCCAGGGCCAGCCCCGCCGCCCCCAGGGCCCCGCCGCCCCCCGCCCGGCACAGCCTTACCTCGGGGGCTGCTGTCCGGCAGGTAGGGCGGCGCGGTCGGGGTGACATTGCCGGAGCCGGGCGCGGAGAGCAGCGGGGAGCGCTCGTCCACCCCCTCGGCGGCCATGGCTGCGGCGCGGAGGGCCCTGCCCGCGGCCGGGCGCTCGGCGTGGGGCGGGGAGGCGGCCGGACCGACGGCGCTGGGGAAGGGGAAGGAGCGCAGAGGAAGGGGCTGGGAATGAATGGGAGCGGGGCGGGGAGGAGGGACGGCAGGGCGGGGGCTGGGCCGGCCGCCCCCCGGCACGGGCTAATGAGCGGGGCGGGCCGGGGGCGGCGCCTGCAGGAGGAGCGTAGCAACCTTCTGTAAATAAATTTTTCCAAAAAAAAAAAGTGCATTTGCTGGGTTGTAGGGTTGTTGGTTTTGGGAGGGGGGTTGGTTTTGGGGTTTTTGGGGTTGGGTTTTGGTGGGTTTTGTTTGGGTTCTTTTGGGTTTTTTTTTGTTGTTGTGGTGGAGGGTTTGTTTGTTTGTTTGTTTGGTGGGTTTTTTGGTTGTTTTGTTGGGGTTTTTTCAGGTTTTTTCAATTCTTTTTTTTTTTAAGCTCTGTGTGTGGATGTGGACGTCAGTACCAAGGAAGGGCTATAGTTGATCTAACTGGGACCAGTGGCCTTTCCAGGAGTCTGTGATGCAGACCGACTCAGGTAGCACTTACCCAGGTGGGAAAGTGGTGGTAACCTTTAAGGGCACTCTAAACGAGTGGAGATAAATCTACCTGTTAAGCAAATCTGCTCAGCTGGGAAGCCTCTCCCCTGGTGTCACTGAGCTCTCTCAGGACATAAGGACTTAATATCCTGCCAGACAGCCCCCTCGGGGACCATCTGGAAGTCTGTGGCAAAGAGGGAAAATAGCCTTCCCTGGTTAATTTTTCAGACTGTATTGAGATAAAGCAGATGTTAGCCACCTAAGTATCATGTGCTTCAACTGTCCATCAGTCAGAGATTGCCAGGTTTCAGTAACAGCAGAAAAAAACCAGTTACTTTGTACACAAGTGGACACGGCTGCCAAGTGCCCCGCCATGTCCATGCGGTGTGATTACCCAGAAACAAGACATTTCTTGAAACACCTTATGTGGAAAGCAAATGTTTTTTGTAAGAAGTGGGTAAAGAAGAGACCATGGCATGAGACTTCACAAACTGGTCGTATTCTGTTCCTAATACAATTCATAATAAAATAGGGTTTCTTGCATCGTGTTGAAAATTTTCTGCATAAGCTGTTTTTCCCATTTGACTCTAAGAAATCAAGCTGTTCTATAAAAACAGATTAATGTATTTGAGAGTCTATGAGAAATAATCAAAACATTAAATTAAAAGGAGGCTGATGTGTTTTATTTTCTTGAGATTCCAATTGTTCATTTTTACTTTAATAACTATCATATGGAATTCTTTAATAACTATGATATGGAATTAATAAGGTATGGTAATGCGATGGCAAAACAAAATGTTTTCAAATATTTTTTGAATGTTTTCCAAAAAAAAGAAAAAAATGTTGAAGCAAATTTTGAAATATTATTCATTCTTTCTCATTTGGGACAAAATTGTGGCTTTGAACATTGTTATTTCCTACAGAAATAAACTCTGAATTTGAGTGAGCTCTGATGTTATCATGTAAGTGATAAGGTGCTATAAGGCAGCTGGTTGAGTTATGCCAACTGTCTTCATCATGCAAGAAATGCAGTAATGCTATGGTTTCCATCAAAAAATGTGGTAACTAATCTGGAAGATGCTTTTTTAGTATAAATTAGAGGGAGCCTTCAGTGTTCAGTCAGCTTCAAAATACTCTCAAGCTGAAATCAATTCTCAACACTTTTGGGGCGAGGGGCCAGTTTGAGGCTCTTTAAGGCTCAAGGTGTTTCATGCCCCCAGCTCCTTCTTGATAAGGTACTATGAGGCCGACCTTGGCATGTCAAAAGTAGATCATAAATATTACTGGTGAGGTAATGACTTCAGCCTATGACTTTGCTACCACATGCCCAGTTTTCAACAAATGCAGAGCCATAGGCTTTCTTTTGGAGTCCTAATGCAGGAATTGGCATTTGCAACCAGGTTTCTTTACCATTTTTCTTGTCTGGGAAAAAGACAGAAAAGATTTTATACATTGTTAAAGCTGACAACTAGACAGCACTGAGTTCCACCAACACCTAGTCCATCCTGCTGCAGTTACAGCAAATTGTCTGTGTGGGACCTCCTTCTCCACTGAACTGCTCTTCTGTGCCTCTGAAGAAGACTGTAAACCTCAAGTTCACTCCCAGGGACCTACAGGGAAAGCTATGTCACAACTCAGTCTGACAGCTCAAGCCTGCACATACAGCCGAGAATTATTGTTATTAAGCATCCCAGCATGCTGACCTAGTCTTGGAAATATGACAGTCATCTAAATAAGTAGCCATTTGGGATTTAAAAAAAAAAATAAACATACCTCCAGCTCCTTGACTTGACTTATCAGAGTTCTTTAAACCCCAGTCACCTGAGCTGCTAAACAGTCTAAATAGCAGAAATTACATAATAGTTCAGTCATCTACCTCTGTTTTTTAGTATTTTGAGTCCATGTGTTTAAGGTAGTTAAAGGTCTACAGGACTTTCCAACTCAAATGTTGCATCCTGACACGTAGAACTGCTGGCATTGTCTGCAGTATCCATGGGAAGTTGGATGGATGCAGATAATAACACTGGAGTGTACCAAAAGCCATACCGGGAAACAAAGCAATGGGCTTGGCTGGTAACAAACCTTCTTTGGATGTTACTCTAGCTCTAAAGGGAAGAATTCAAACATCAGATGATATCAGGGTGCAGATAACTTAGTCAGAGAGAACTTACTGCTTTCTTCCTGCTCTTTTTCCTCTGGACAGAAGTGCCTTATGATACGTGTTTAATTAACACTGCTGTGCACTTTTCCTCCTATGAAAATCTTGCCTTTTCTAGTGGGTAGGGTGCTCTGCTCTGAGCAGCCCTGCTTGTGACTGAACTATCCAGAAGGCACATCACTACTTGACTTCAGTGTTGTAGCACAAGCCACAGTGCAGGGAGCATCAGTTTTCTACACTCTGCCCTCAGGCTCCTTGGAGTGGTGACTCAGGACACCTCAGCCTTGCACTGTGGTACTTGTTTGTGCTGCCAAGGCATCTCAGCACTGAAGTTTGTATGATACAGACCAAGAATACAACCACGTGCCTCTGTGGAAAATGCCTCCATAAGCGCAGGTAAACTGCACTTTGAAAATGGCACAGGCAAATGAACCAATTGCACCTCTGAGAACAGCCTTACAGAAGGTTTCTCAAGGTGTCTTCACCTGTGTCACTGAATGGAATCACATATGTACCTCTCTGTCCTGCCCCAGTGTTGTATTGTTTCATATAAACGTCTATACCAAATAAATGAGGGCTGAGCAAGACCGCACATTGGTTAAACAAGGCTTACATTAAGCAGAGACATAAAATTAATATGGTAAACATATTTTCTTCTACTATCTTTATTGATTTTCCATGCTTAGTGTGACCTTTTGAGAAGCTTGGTAATGTTCAAGGTTTTTTCTTCATTTTGAAACGATCATTCTAATTTTTTTTTTATTTTTTTCATTTTCCCTAGATAAAAGAATCTATTCACTTTAGCATGAGATAAACCACTGAAAATGTTGAAGCTCACTGTCAAATGCATAAGTATTTGTGTATCAATAGTATAAACAACTACAACTCTTTGTTAATCTTGCCTCTTCAATAAGCAGTTAAGTGTAAAAAAGCTACCTTAGGTAGTGTGTTTGTGTTGTGTAGACTTTTTACAGGTAACTTTCTAATTTTCTATGTTATATTTAAGAACAAATAACCTCCAATAATAATGTTTTATCTATCTATTATTTTTATTTTCATAATAATGCTTAGAGTCTGCAAGCCTAAATCAACTGTGATAGGAGCTGTTCAAAGACATAAAGGAATACCCTGATCATTTACAATATAAGAAAGATAAAAATAAAAATTAAAAAACCACACAGGTTATGCAAATTCACATAACTTCTCACTTACACTGTAAGAACTGGAATATAGTTCTTCTCAAGTCCAGTCAAAGGATTTTTTGCTAAACCAAGTTTCTTCTTAATGGCAAGTACATTGAATAAAAAAAGAAAGCAAAGTGCTTATTCTTGCATTTTTCCAAATTGACTATATTAGGAAAGGGCACAGTAAGGTAACAAAAGGCCTATTTTTTAAAACTGTAATACAGAGAGGTGCATAAGAACAATATATACAATGCACACAAAATCCTCTCAGGATTTTCATTTGCAAAGGTATCCATCCTGTGCTGCAAGATCAAGTCTATGACAAAATAAAATTTTATATTGCAGATAGTCTGAGAAATGCAATTGCATTACTGTGTATAGTATGAGATGCAGGATATAATAATTAACACCAGTTATAAAAATAACTAACTAGAGGACGGCACATATGGTTTCAGGCAAGGTAATGCAACATAAACTACTATAATAACTACGATACAAGATCCAGGATAGTATTTGGAATATAGGCAAGGCTTTTGAAAACACTTCTCAGGTCAGTCCTTTGTGCTATGCCACAAACTAGCACAGACTTCTGACTCCAGGTAGGACTGTGACTTGGCATTGATATGCACAGCTGTGTGATAACCTCTGGAATGGTTAGTATGCTGGGATGTTTATTTTTATTTTCTTCTTTTTTCCTTTTAATGTATGTGTCTGTAATTTTTTTCACATGCAAAAGTATACAAGCACCATGAAAATGGGAATGTAATAAAATTCCATATATATTTGTATTTGGGAAAGGGCTGTTTTCTCTCCATATTGCAGAAGTCAGACAGGAGGTCTTAAAGAGCACAGGAATTAAATATGAACCTCTTATATGCAGAAGGATTTTACCTCTAGTCCCATCAACACTGCTCATCCCGTTATGGTTGTGTGATAAGTCACTCTCCCACTGGCAAAACACAGACAAGGAACATTATGTTATTCAGTGATGACTTAGGAGGCTGACAGCAGCTAATGCTGCAGAAAGAGGTCGTTCTTCCAACCCACTCCTTCCCACCTGCAGAGCTACACAGGCAGGAGAACAGAATACCAGAGCTGTGGGAAGGGTCATGCTTGCTGCACTGACAGCCTCTGCCTGTCGACACCCTCTGTTCCCAAAAGCAATGGGTAGCATTTGGCCAGTGACTAGACAAGTCTATTTTTA